AGAAGATATGTTCTTATTGATATGTTCAGTGAAAATTTGAGGACAAATTTTCTTTAAAGGAGGGGAGATTTGTAACATCCTGAAATCTGGGTCAGTGACTAAAATGAGAATTATTGAAATTTAGTGATAAAAGTAGAATAGTTAAATAGTTCAATGACTTATTGGAAATATAGTTGAAGGTTGTTTAGTAATTATTGAATGAATTAAAGGGTAAAATGGTCAATTGACAAGTAAGATTTTTATTTTCCTTTAAAAGATAAGGGAACCACGTGGAAAGGGAGAGATTTCTCCAGAGTTATCTTCTTCTCTTTTTATTTTTCTTTCTTCTTCACGTGGAAGCCAAGAGCAAAGGTAAGTTTCTGGTTAATTGATTTCTTGTTGAATTTTAAGTTTGGTTTTGATTATCTAGTGACTCTTAAGCTTAAGGGAAGCTTAATTTGTCATAAAACAATAAGAGGAAAGGTACAGAAAGGATTAAAGGAAGGAAGTGAATAAATGAAATCTTGTTAGAAAGACATTTATGGGATTTCCAGACCAAATTTGACTTGTCAAGGGTCTAATTAAGAAGTTAGAAACAATAGAATTGAATTTGGAACATGTTGAAAATTTAGTGTAATTCTTGAATTACATATGGAGAATAGGATTTTGATGTTAAAGAGGTGATTAATGAATAGAAATGAGTTTGAATATATGTATGTGAGTTAAGAATATAAAAGGGGATGAAATATGAAGAGTTGAGCTAAAAAGAAAGTGAATTTCGTGCTCTAACTGGAATTTCTGGGTTGTTTGCATCGATGCACATTCATTGTGTACCAATGCACTCTCAAATAAATGAACATCGAATGCAATGAGTGCATCGATGCAGAGGGAGTGCATCGATACACCCCTTAAAATGGAAACATCGAATGTAAATTGTGTATCGATGCATGGGGTAGTGCATCGATGCACATGTTAAGAGATGCATCGATACACTGTGGAATGTACCTATGCACTTCAATGGGAAATGAAATAGATCTTTCTTTCAGTCTAAGAATTGATAGATTATAGTATATCAATTGGATATTGGTAAGTATTAATACATGATTCTGTAGATATCGATCGAAAGCAAAGTTCGGATAGGTCGTCAGAGTAAGATACGCAAGAAAGAGAAAGAGTTTGGTAGTGTTATTGGTGATAAGGTGAGTACATGATATGAAGTGTAGTTATGTTAAGGAATTATGACTTGCGAGAAGTCTAATTCTGATTAGGGGTGTTTTCGGTTCGATTCGATTTTTTACCAAAAATTGAATCGAACCGAAACAAACGGCTTTTCAAAATTTAAACCGAAACCGAATGGTTAAAAAACCGAAAAAATCGAAACTGGTTTTTTCGGTTCGGTTTATCGGTTTTTCAATGAAAAAATCACTTGAAACTATAATTTTTTTTAAAAAAATTATCTATTCGGTTCAATATGGAATAAATGGGTTCCATATGGAAAACCCGAACCGAATCGAATTAAAAGAATTGGGACTTTAAACCGAACCGAAAACTGAATCGTATAATGCCAAACCAAACCGAACCGTTTTAGTCGGTTCGAGTCGGTTTTTTAGTTTTCTCGGTTTCGTTGCTCAACCTTAATTTTGATATTAGGTAATATGAGTACCCAGATATAAGCATGTAGTGATATGATGATCAGAGAAATTTGAGTCTATGCATATGTTTAGATGTAATTGCATCTCTATGTTTGTGATCTAGGTGAATATGCCTTGTTGCATTACATGTTATGAGATATGTGTTGTATGATAGTGATCTATGAGATATTGATAATAAGTCATAAGATTTCATACATATGTAATATAAGTTAAAAGATAAGAAATAATATGTTATATGCATATGAGAAAAAGGTATATGTGAACTATATGAAATGAGATAAAGAACTATGTGATGTGACCATGTGTGAAAAGGATGAATAATGTGAATTTCATGGAAAAATGCTACGTGAAAGTAAAACTACGTGACTATGTGATCATATGAAATGTGATAGAGAGCTATGTGATATGAATATGCGAATGTGTAATGAGGTAAAAGATAATGCCCATGTCATGTGTTATGAGAGCTATAGGTATAGTTGGCATGCCAAGAGTCGAGGGTCTACACGGTCCTTCGGGACATAGTGGTCCTTTGGGATATATGTGTTATATGTGGTCCTTCGGGATATCTACGTGGTCATTCGGGACAAATTCTACGTGCCCCTAGTGGGAATTATACGAGCTGTGGTGACAGCATAGTGCACAACCTCTATGTACTCACATACCTTAAGTTCTCAGTAGTGTGCATGGGCTAATAAAAAATGATAACAATAAAATATGAGTTGTAATGAGAAATGTGTTACATGTTTTTGTATGTGTTATAGGAAAGAATGTGTGTTATGGGTTATGGCATTTGTTATGTGATGTACATGAATATATGTTAATATATATATATATGAATGAATATCAATGACTCATATGATGATGTAAGAACATGTTATAAGATATAGAATATGAAAATAAGAGATCATAGGAACAAGGGATAAGAGATAGAAAGGATAATCATATAAGAGTATGAGAAAATTTAAATGATGACATGCATGTGTGTATGTAATTGTTACATGAAAAAGTATGTATACAAGTATGACGTTGTATTACATGATATGTACATGCATTTGATAATTTATATATGTATTTATACCTCTCACTAAGTCTATGAATTAGCGTGTTAGTGTTTCACACGTAGGTTCAGGAAAGTAGGAAGAGAAGCTAAGAAGAGCAAGACATGTTAGTTTCTCCTTACTGAAGGTCAGATCAGAACATAAATGAATAACATGTATTTTGTTATATAGAATCTAGTTGGCATGTAGTTAAAAGATTTGTATTAGATATGCTCTAATCAGTTTTGTAAAACCATATGTTTTATATCATAGAAAGTAAATGGGTTTATTAGAAATATCAAACTGAATCTTGGGTATTTTGTAAAAGTAAATGTTTTGAGAAGTCAATGTAACACCTCAGACTCGTATTCCGGTCGGGTACGGGTTAGGGGTGTTACATTATGCTTTTGTAAAAGCCTTTGAATGGTAATAATTTCAATAATGGAATTATTGGTATTAAGAATCTAAGTGATAAAATGGTGAAGGGCCATTTTGTGTATATTGGAAAAGTAGGTTCCAATGTTAAAAGGAATTAATAAGTGTTAAAGTATTTGGTGGTGATTAGTTTCAAGTATATTATGGAGTTGTTATGGGATATGTTTATGTTAGTATAATACTAACATATGTATCGTTATAAATTGGTGATTTATACAGATTGTGATTGATTTATAATCGAAGCAAATCAAATATAAAAGGGCTTATTGTGGACAATAGTGAGGCACACATATTTGGAAAATTTTAAATTGTCAAGGTGAGTGCAATACATGCATGACATTATACATGGATGTTTTATACATCATCTGGAAGACTTGCGATAAGTCGACCTTGTTTATGTTGACATGATATTCATGTCATTTATCATATATTTGACATATTCTAAAAATGTCAAAGGTTGAATATAAAATGAATTGATCACTGATTTTTGCATATGATGTTATCATGGACATATATGATTTTTATCATGAATGATATTTCGGGTATGAACTGCCCAATGTTAAATGGTATTGATATACTTTGCCATGGATGGATCAAATAAAATTGACTACATGCCCAAGTATGTTATTGAGGATCAGTGGTATTAATGGCATACCATAGAGTCTAGCAGCTGCGTATTAGGTAGCACTAGAGTGTCTAGAGAAGGCACATAGTGCAGGCCTTAGTGTCTAGTGAAGACACGATACAAACACTACGGTGTACTAGGTGGGTAAATCCCGACCTCAGCACTAATGTGCATTATTAGGTGAGCAAAGCTCGACCTCAGCACTTCGGTGCAATATTTGACTCCTATACCGGGTTCCTCATACAGTTATACTATGGGGTATGATTTATGGTTTATTGGTTAATAAATGATAAATTGGTAAAATAAGATTACGAGCTTATGGTATTAAATGGCAAGTATATTGGTAAAATAAACTTACGAGCTTATGGTATTAAATGGTAAGTATATTGGTAAAATAAACTTACGAGCTTATGGTATTAAACGGTAAGTATATTGGTAAAATAAGCTTAAGAGCTTATGGGATAAATGGTAAGAGATTTTATATTATTTTGATCATGGTAAAATATTGGACATGCTAGTAACATGATAAAATGGTATTTTGAATTTGACATTGAAAATCATGCATGAATTGTATTGCACTGTATATTGTTTTAATTGCCTCACTAAGTTTATACTTAGCTTGTGATGATTTTCACACGTAGGTAAAAAGCCAGTAGTAGAATAAAGAGTTCGAAATAAAATCAAGCATCGAGGAGTATATTGCAATATCAGTAAGACATCCTATGATGGAATTTGATTTAGATAGTGGCATGTAATTTGATAATGTTAAATTTGTTTTGTTGAATTAATTTGGAAACAAATTAGTAACTTGATAGTGATGAAAGGTCAATTTTTATGAGTTTTATATGTAATTTTCGGAAGTTACTGTAGCAGTGAACAGTAACCACGTTTTAAACAAAATTTCCCGAATGCATTTAGGGAACCGATTCCCTGCTACAGGGGAACTGATACCCCCACTGTTCACTGTTCACGGGTACTATTCATTTTTAAAAAAAATCTTTTGAATCAAATTTGTTATAATGAAACATAATTCATATGATATGATATTTTTATAATATCATTTACCATTTTAAGAAAATAAATTTTAAATCTCTTTTTAATTGTAAAATGGTTTTACAAATTTGGATAACATCTATAATTTGTATATGTATAATTATACGGGTTATGGGTGTTATATGTAGGCTACATAAATCACTTTATGGACTGAAACAAGCTTCTAGGCAATGGAACTTGAAGCTAACATAAGCATTACTTACAACTGGTTACATGCAGAGCAAGTATGATTATTCAATGTTTACAAAACATCAAGGGAATTATATAGTTGTCTTGCTGGTTTATGTTGATGACCTTTTAATTACTGACAGCAATGAAGTAATGATAATGGAACTTAAGCATATTTTGAATGGGAACTTCAAAATGAAGGATATTGGAGAGTTAAAATACTTTCTAGGATTGGAGGTTATAAGGTCAAAAGAAGGGATTTTGTTGAATCAACGAAAGTATACTTTAGAACTGATTGAAGAAACTGGAATAGGGGGAGCTAAACCAGCTATAACTCCTTTAGAGCAAAACAAGAAGCTCATTACAGCTAAATATGATGAAACACTTTGTGGAGATGAGAAATTGTTACAAGATAAGTCCGTTTTTCAGAGGCTTATAGGTGGACTGATATATCTTACTCACACAAGGCCAGATATTGCTTATGTAGTACATTTTCTAAGCCAGTTTATGCATAAACCAAAGCAATCCCATCTTGAACTGCATTAAGAGTGGTAAGATACATTAAGAAAAATCCAGGTCAGGGGATTTTATTAAGTGCAACAAGTGAATACAAGTTGTTTGCTTATTGTGATTTGACTGGGCTGCTTGTCCAATGATTAGAAGATCTGTAACATGTTTTTGCATTAAACTTGGAATGTCTCTGATCTCTTGGAAGTCTAAGAAACAAAACATTGTTACACGCTCTTATGTTGAAGCATAATATAGAAGCATGGTAGGAACATCTGCTGAAATAGTATGGTTGAGAGGTTTGCTGACTTAGTTGGGTTTGAAGAGTATGGAACCAGCTAAGCTGATGTGTGACAGTAAAACAACCTTGCAGATAACATCTAATCTGGTTTTCCATGAGAGAACTAAACATATTGAAATAGATTGTCATTTTGTCAGAGAAAAAAATTCAAGAAGGTTTGATACAAACTGAACACATCAAAACAGGGGAACAACAAGCAGACTTGATGACCAAAGCCTTGGGTGTACATCAACATGAATATCTGGTTTCCAAGTTGGGGTTTAAAGATATTTTTTCAACCACAAACTTGAGGGGGTGTAGAAAGTGTTAACTAGTTTAGCTTAGTTGTACAGTTTATTAGCTTTTAGTTATTGAGTTAGTTATGACAGTTGCTTTGTGTATAAATAGGACTTATTTGTTGTAAATTGTAAGTTGTAAGTTGAGGAATAAAAGATAATTTTACCCAAATATCAGGTCTTATTTTTAATACATGTAAATTGAAGGTGTGTCATTCCAAAAATAATAATCAATTTTTAAAGATTATGATAATTTTTTAAAGGGTCGCGAGTTCAATTCTTAAATAAAGATGAATAGAGGTGACTGGAGGCAGTCACTCGTTTGAAAATTTAAAATTATCATATATTTTAGATATTTCTTTATATTTTCTATTGATAGTATCACTCTAGAATTCTATAAATTTGATCTTATATAAATTTTTAGAAATTCAACCCCTAACATAAAATCATGCATCCATACATATTCCTAGGACCTTTAAAATTTTATTAAAATTTTTCAACTAGTAAAATGAAAGGTAAATTATGACGATAGTCCTATGTTTTCGATATGACCAACTTTGGTTGCAAAAATAAATTAAGGGAAAATTGTACCTAACGTTATCAGTCAGTCCGATTTAAGTCCCTAACATTATCGGTCTGTCTAATTTTAATCTCTCAATCGTTAACTTCCGTTAACCCATTAACGAAATTATTATTATGTGGCAATTAAATAATAATAAAAAATAAAAAACCACATGGTCCCTGCCGCCCCTTCCTCTTCTTCTTCTTCCCCATTAATCACCCACCATCATCTCAGACAAAACCATGCAAAAAAACAAAAATAACAAAATCCCCCATGTCGTAGCTCTGATTCTTGGTCCTTCTCCGACGAACATTGCTACACTTTTTTCGGTGGAAACGTCTCTGATGGTGGTGTCGGCCGGTGAAGGATTACGATGAATTCAACGACAGGTTTTTCAAAGAGAAAAGAGTCTCGATTTCATCTTTCATTGCTTAGCCACCACCACCCTCCTCCAATTTTATTGTCGTCAATGACTCTCTTCATCACCAGCATGAATGATAACATAACTTAAACATGTTGTTCATGGATTGATTATATTTGATGCCCCATCCATCACCCAACAACACTACAAACTACAAAGTAACCTCCCACTTGTTTTCTTTCTTCTTCACACACCTTTTTCTATCTAATTTTATTTTCCAAGGAAGTTTCTTTCTCCCAAAACTGGCTTCAAATGATCGAGAATCAACTGTTAGAGAAATCAAACCAGAAGAAGAAAAAAGATGGGTTGACGTTGAATGTATTTTGGAAGAATAAAACTTACAGAAGAGTGGTAGCGGTGACACGTCGTCGTCGTCTTGCACGTTGTAGCTGGCGGGACTGCACTGCGAGTAGAGAGGCAAAATTGAGAAATGACCGGGGGCGGGGGGAAGCCTCACCAAACACGTGTACGGAGAGTAACTCGACGAGATTCTACAAGCTTTGGAGGTTCAGAGATTTTAACCTCCCATATAGTAGCAACGAAAAGATGCGTTCGTCTTCTTAAACCATCATCTGCCTTCTTCTTCGTCGTCGATAAAACGGCGTCGCCTTCAGCTCATGGAAATCTTTACGTTAAAAACTGATCACAAAGGGAAAGGGTTAAACAACGATCATATTTATCGTATAAGCAGGCTGGGTTTTTCACTAACGTCAGCGCTCTAAGTGATTGAAGTAGTAGAAGAAAAAGAACGTGGAAGAATAGCAACTTATCGGCAGCGCGTTGGGTTGTTTACAAGGGTTGTGGAAGATTAAAGTGTGGTGTGGTGGCCATAGCTACGAGGGTACTTCGTGGGTGGCTAGCGATGGAGCTCTGTTTGTTATATACTTGATGAATCTGAACCGTGTTTTGGTGGATATGGTGACGGAGACGGCATGGGTGGAAGGTTTATGGGTTTAAGCTCAAGAAGAAGAAGAAAGGCTTAAGGGTTTAAGCTCACGTGGATTTTTAAAAAAAAAATTAATTGCCATATAATACTTCCGTTAAAAGTTAACAAAAGTTGATGAGGTTTGAAATTGAACAAATTAATAATGTTAGAGACCATTTTCCTTATTTTTTTTATGATCAAAGTCTATCATACCGAAAATATAAGGGAGTATCGGCATAATTTACCCTAAAATTAATGACACGAAAGGATAAAATAGAATGAAATTGATAATTTCATTACTAATATAAAATGTTTTAATGTTTAAAGAGTAATTTATAATGAGACCAAATTGGAATGAGATTATAATTTAAGGATATCCTGCACAACTTTTTTAGAGGTGTTCAAACTTCGGTTAAAATTGATTTAACTGATCGAACTAAAGTGTTTTCGATTAATCAGTCAGTTAATTTTAAGTTCAGTAGGTTAACGCCTTAACGATTAATGATTTTATTCAAACTTCGATTATCGACTAATTTGGTTTAAAATCGATTGGTTAACCGAATTAACCAAAAAAATTAAACATTTAATATATTATATATTATTTATATATTAACAAGCCTTAAGAGTGTTTAAAATTCGATTTTAACTGAATTAACTGAAAATATAAAATATATATCATTTATAAATTTTGATTAATTCGATTAACCGACTGATTAAATAAACTTTATTCAATTCAATTAATTATTTTCAAATAAATTCGTTTTATTCAATTAATGAAAATTTGAAAGTTAGTTCACCTAACCGACCCATTAATCACCCTTAATTATTTCATTTTGTTATCCTAAATGTGTTTTTACTTTTTTTCCTGACGCCTCCCATGTGGGTACGTGGACTGCCCAGTGGACCACTTGCCCTCCTTTTACTTTTCCCAGCTTTTTCCCTCGTTCCCTGTTTGTTTGTTTCTTTACTTTTTCCTCTCCCACTTTGATCTTTGCGGAAAGCACTCCACTCTTTTTTTTTTTTTTTTTATAACTGACAACCAAACACCTCCTTATCCCTTATCCTACGCACCTTTCACTCTATATGTATATTTTAGACTGATCTCCTTATCCTACGCACATTAGCACCCATTGCTCGATCATTCTTTCGTCAGTTAACATTACACGTGTCTCCTTTTAATCACCGACGTCATCGTCTCTTCAGCCCTTTTTACTTCCGTTTTCTCTCCATTGCTAGGGTTACTAATTTCTTCCTTTCTTTCGCTTTTTCTTTTTTCGGTTTTCGTCTACCGAGTCACCGAACGAGTTAAGAACGAGGCGAGTTTCAGCAACAACTATGGAGTCGATCCCCGATCCTGGAGAGGTGACCGAGTTGGTACAACCGAGTTTCGATGAGTTCCAGAGGCAGGCCTCTCTGATGACGAGCTGTACTCTCCTCTGGAAAGAACTCTCCGATCACATAAACTCTCTCGAGCAGAACCTGTTGAAGCAATCGGAGACCTTGAAACGTAAGATCGAGACTCTAGACTCGGAGACCAAGGCCTCACTTGAATCACTCAAGAAGCGCGAACTCAGTATCGAGGACAGCGTCAAGATCGCGCTCAGAAGAGTTGATTTCAACACCAAAGCCGCCATGAGAACACTTAGCGACGAACTCGAAGAGAATCCGGACGGCGAGGTCGACAACGGAGACTGCCTTTTGCAACACCTGAAATCATCGTGCTTGAAAATGGAAGCTAAAGAGTTCTGGAACTTCGTCACTGGAAAAAAGAAGGAACTCGATTTGTTAAGAGAGAAAATCCCTGCAGCTTTATCGGAATGCATCGACCCGGTAAGGTTCGTTATGGAGGTCATATCAGAGGTATTTCCGGTGGATAAAAGAGGAAATGAGGGAGGAAGTGATTTAGGTTGGGCTTGTGTTTTGATTCTGGAAAGCTTAATTCCTGTGTTGGTCGATCCGGTGATCGGAAAATCAAGGATGCTGGTCACGCCTAGTATGAAGGAGCAGGCGAAAGAGATCGCGGTGACTTGGAAAAAGAGCCTTGAAGAGAGAGGAGGAATTGAGAACGTGAAGACCCCTGATGTTCATACCTTTTTGCAGCATTTGGTTACGTTTGGGATTGTTAAGAAAGAAGATCTGGAGTTTTATAGGAAGCTTGTTGTTGCTTCTGCTTGGAGAAAACAAATGCCCAAACTCGCTGTTTCTCTCGGCCTCGGTGATCAAATGCCCGGTATGATTTTCCTTTTTGATGTTTAACTGTGACGGTCTAAAGATAGTGGTTATATTGCCTGATCTATTAGAACTCTTGTCGGCCGAACTTTCTGAATTAACATGGCTGTTGTGAAGATAAGATTTTTTTAACATTTCATGAGCTATGTTGCATTTAGAGTCAGCCTCAGAACAAGATGTCCGAAAGGACGGACACAATTTTATTTTAGGTGAATTTATAAAACTTTAGGGGTGAAAACAAATTATCAATAGAAAATATAAAGAAAATACCTAAATTATATGAGAATTTGAAATTTTCACGGGCAACTGCTCCCTCTAGCCGTCCTTGCTCATCGGTCCATCCAACCGACCTAGCATAGTAAAGTATCTTATTGTCTGGGATTGTGGATTAGCTAGTGCCTGCTCCTTTGCTAGCTTACAAGCTTTCAAAATGGTTTGTGCTTGTGTAATTTGCTCGTTGTTATTTGACTGATTTGAGTGTTGCCCATAGTTATATATTGTTTTTGGTTTATGGAGAATATATGGTCTGTATTCAGGTGACTGTTCAGGGGAACTAATGTCGAGATGCAATTTTTGCAATTGGAAACTTTGTGCCGCATGTTGTGAAAAGTGTATGATTAGTTGTGATTCAAATAGGTCAAGAACCGAAATTTTATTTTAAGAAGGTGAAGCTAGATGTTCATGGGATTGAATATGTATTAAGTTCCTTTTTAAAGCCAACAGTTGTGTTAGTTTGTTATAGAGAGAAAATGTGATTTCATCGGCGTTTGTTTTGCAACCAATTATGTATCTTGCATAACTCAAACATCACTACTGAATCCTTAACATGGTCAACATTTCATTTAAAAAACCATTGCTTTTAGCGGATTGTTGTGTTTTTGGTGATTCTCTCTCTATGGATTTCTACCATATGAAATTGCAGTGATTCGTACTATTAAGTTACAATTATAAGGTTAAGTTTATAACACTTCTAATTATTGCATATAGACATGATTGAAGAGTTGATCAGCAAGGGACAGCAGCTCGATGCAGTTCATTTTACTTATGAAGTTGGTCTTGTGGACAAGTTTCCCCCTGCACCGCTGCTGAAAGCTTTCTTGAGGGATGCAAAGAAGGCTGCATCTTCTATCTTAGATGATCCCAATAATACTGGGCGGGCTGTGGTACTCATACTGACGATTTGTTTTACTCTTTACGATTTTGGATTATCCATTTTTTACTTGAATGAATGTTTGATGCAAGGGTTTTCTCCTGGGCTTTGCTGTAAGCTGTAAGCTGATTTATTTCAGTCATATATCTGCCTGCTAACTGAAATAAACTAAAATGTGGTGTTTTTTATATCATAAAGCATATGCAGCATGGATCATGGTGATGTCATTGCATCTATCGCTTTTGTGATGGCAATCTTTGTTATTGATTTTTGCAGCAACTTGCCGCACGCAAAGAGCAATCAGCACTTCGAGCTGTCATCAAGTGCATTGAGGAGTACAAACTCGAGGCTGAGTTCCCGCCTGAAAACCTCAAGAAACGCCTTGAGCAGCTAGAGAAGAGCAAGACTGAGAAGAGAAAGCCAGTTGTAGTCCCTGCTAACAAGCGAACACGTGCAAGTAATGGTGGTCCTATGCCTCCAGCTAAAGCTGGCCGTTTGACGAATGCATACGTCTCCTCTTTTCATGCACCTCCTCCATTCGTAAGGTCTCCCTCGCACACCCAGTACCCTACTCCAGTCCAGGGATATCCATCCCCACCTGCCATGCACACCCAATACCCTACTCCAGTCCAGGGATACCCATCCCCACCTGCCATGCACACCCAATACCCTACTCCAGTCCAGGGATACCCATCCCCACCTGCCATGTACGGAAGCAGGAGCCCACCCGCCAACCCCTATGCTTACTCACCAGAAGCTGCCCCTCCTCCCCTCGCTGGTCCATACCCTGGAGCTCCCATGAACTATCCCGTATATGGGGGTTACGGTAACGGTTTGGCACCGGCATATCAGCAGGCTTACTACCGATAGACAATGACGACTACTCTGGTGATGGTAACCACTGATACGCTGACTACTACCAGACCAATCTAAGTTTATGTTTCTAAAATGGTTTGTCTGTAATATCACTAACCGTTTTAATGGTAGCGATGTCTGTGTGTTTAATTATAACTGCCTATCGAAAAACTCTAGTACTAGGTGATTGTGGTTAAGCATAACAATATGTATAAACTCGAGACTACCACGCAGGATTAGTTTGTAGGAAAAATGGTCGTACTGTTTATCTGATCTGATGAGCCTTTGTACATCATTTGTGTTTCCCAAGAGATGGTTTAATCATTGCTAAGACAGCCTTTGATTCCATTGAAAACATGCAATGTTGGTTTTCATGGAAGATGGGACTGTTGTGGGGGACTTTTCAAAGGACCCCATCCTCTTTAAGCCAAGTGTTTTGGGTGACACTTGAGCAACAGTGAAAGCCTGAGGGCCTATGAAGCATCACTTGCTCTCTTCTTTTTTTGCACACAGCTACAGAGTAATCTAGTAGGATCAATCTTTCTCCTTTTTCATCTATAGGTGTCAAATTCGTAGTTGAAAGTGAAACAAAGGGTAGACTACGGGATTGTCTTGGGAAAGGCGGGTTAATATATGGTGTTATCGGATATATTAAAAGATATTTAATAAATTCGGTTTAGCGTTATCGAAAATGTTGAGTAATAATAATGTAGTAAGTTTAATTTATGAAAAAATATTAAAAAATTTGACAACCGGTAAACTTAGCTTGTCGGTTTATGTTGATATTTTATAAAACTATATCGATCCACATCAATATAACAGATAAAAATATGACAAAATCGGTTTTGTAAAGACAAAACCGGTAAAGCGACACCAGATATATTGAAAGTGTCGATACTTTAATATAAGTATCGAAACTTAGTGAATTTAAAAGAAAAGCAGTTTTAGCACTTATAAAGTGTCGATACTTTATAACAATGTATCGATTCACAACGATATAACAGGTAAAACTATAACAAAATCGGTCTCTAAAGGACAAAATCGGTATAGAGTGACCGGATATATTGAAAGCGTCGATACTTTAATATAAATATCGACACTTTGTGAATTTAAAAGAGAAGCAGTTTTAGCGTCTATAAAGTGTCGAACTTTATAACAATGTATCGATCCACAACGATATAACATGTAAAAATATGACAAAACCGGTCTCTAAAGGACAAAACCGGTATAGAGCGACCGAATATATTGAAAGTGTCGATACTTTAATATAAGTATCGGTACTTTGTGAATTTAAAAGAGAAGCAGTTTTAGTGCCTATAAAGTGTCGATACTTTATAAAAATGTATTGATCCATAACGATATAACAGGTAAAAATATGAAAACCCGGTCTCGAAATGACAAAACCGATAAAGCGCTACCGGATATATTGAAAGTGTCGATACTTTAATAAGTACGCGTAATAAATTATCGATACTTTCAAAGAAATATGTAATTATACTATTGAAAGTATCGACACCTAACATAAAAGTATCGACACTTTGGTAGTTGTATCGATTAAATATAAATAAAATATCAGGTGAAAATATAAAGGGCATAGTTAAATATCCTCTGGAAAATAGATATAACGGATGAGTTTTTGAAATCAAAGCGTAATTGTTGCTGCATTTCAGAAGGCGTTTCTAAAGCGAAGTTTGTTTGTTGCTGCAATCGAATCGAAAAGTACGTTGTTGAAACCCTAGTTTTTTATTATTACAGTAATCGGAAATAGTGTTTTTATGTGTTGTTTGGGTTTTGGAGTAAAGAAGTATTTGAGACCGATTACAGGTAGAAAGTGACATTCTAGGTAAAATATAAATATCAATACTTTTATTAAATATTATAGGTAGAAAATGATATTATAGTTGTATAAATGTGTCGATACTTGGAGTATTGAGTGTTCATATTCGTTTGAAGGAAATAAGGATTAGGGTTTTTGGGTTTGGTTTAAGGATTTCGAATCGAAGTCAAGAAGGATTTGAGACCGATTATATAATATTATAGGTAGAAAATAAATATGGATACCTGTGTATAATATTATAGGTAGAAAATTATATTTTAGATTGTATAAATGTGCCGACACATTTTGTAGTGGCAATTCAAATTCTTTTGAAGAAAATCGTTTTACCACAAGAGTAGTTATCTATATTTGTATATTGAATAAAGTGTATGTAACAAGTATTTGATTTGATTTGCGTAAACTGATATATGAAGGAAAAATAGAGTCAATAGGTGGAAAAATTGTTGGTGGCGCAGATGACTTTGAAATTGAGGCTAAGACTCGAAAGCAACGAAAGGGTGGATATATGTACTTCTAGTATGTATCAATGTCCTTTTGTTATTATTGTTGAAATGGTAATTGGATTAAAGTATTTAAGAACTTTAAATTGATTATAAATTTTAAATGTTGACAGTATGACTGAATGCTAAAGGATGAAGGAAGGTGGCGAACACATCGGTTCGGTATGTAAATTGAAATTGACATTGAGTATTATTTAGCGTTAATATATATTGATTAAGAAATGTTTATGCTTAATATTATGTGAGAAATGATGTGTTGGAGAAATGAAATTCGATGAGTGATGCTGATAAGGAACCTTACATCGCACATGCAAAAATGGATAGTGAAGAATACAAAGAATGAAGGAAAGCACATGAAAAGAAGGTATTCATTAAACTTGTAAATACGTTGATACAAAATATATAAGAACTATAACATTATATATTGTTAAAAAATGTAGGAAGTGTCGACAAGGTGCAACATTAAAAGGGTGAATTCATTAATTAAACACCTTAAGGAGAAGAGTCAGTTGAATGTACTGGGAGAAATGGGGTTTGGATCGTTAGTAAAGAGTAAGGGATCGGCCTATTCGGAGGGAATTGTGTCGATCCTTGATGGCGCAATTTGATGTCGAACAATGTATTGCTAAATATGGTGATTTTTCATTTCCTCTGGGGATCCCATGTGCTGCAGCCGTCTTGGGGGTAGGAAATGAAGGAAAAAGTGTTGTAGAAGTCTCTAAGAGTAAGAACTGGAAAGCACTTGCCTCTAAATATTGTTTGAAGCAGAAGGTGACATATGTTGAACTTGAAGAGGAAATCAAAAGTGGATCTTACGGGGGGATGAGCTGAAAGCCCGAGTTCTATTATACATTGTCGGGATCTTTATTTGTTCAACGGGTGATACATCAACGAACAATGACTATATGAAGCTCATTTGCGATGAAGGCTTGAAGGGTGAATTCAATTGGGCTGAATATATCCATTCGAGATTGATTGAATCAATAATCACCTTTAAAAAGGGCAGCCAAAGATACCTCAAAGGGTGCATAACAATCTTAGAGATAAATGAGTTGAAGAACGTTTTTGTTTTTTTATATAAAATGATAATATAATTATTATATAAAATTATAAATTTTATTATAAATACAGGTTGCACTGTTCGATTTTTGGTCGGGCTGTGAGGCAGTACCGGCTTATGAAAGAACTGGAGTGGCACACATCCGTGCATGGGGGAAGGAAGAGGTGATTAGAGTGATGGAGAAGTTGAAGTTGGATAGACCGAGGAAGCAAGAAAATGTAATAAATGTAATTAAATAATATTAAGAATATAATCAATGTCTTAATATTGTAATTTAATTTTGAAGGTTATTGTCAAAGAGGTATAGGAGGTAGTGGAGGCAGAGGAGAAGGAAGAAGAGATGGTTGTATTGGGGGATGACAGTGAGGGAAAACAGAGTAAATTCGACATTTTGATGTCTGAATTGGTTGATATAAAAAAAATCCAATTTGATATCATGCAAAGACAATCAAGAGTCGAAGAGAAACTTGAGAGAGTCGAAGGGACACTTGAGATATATAATGGGGGAGTGGAAGGAAAAATAGATGGAGTGGTGAAAGAAGATGAGGTGTTGAGGGGTGAAGTGGTGAAAGAAGTTGAGGTGTTGAGGGGTGAACTTAAGATGGTGACGGGTGAAAAAATTGATGGAGTGGTGAAGGAGGTTGTGGAATTGAGGAGTGAACTTACGGGGTGAAGGGGGTGGTTGATGAATACTTGAATGAAGGGGAAAATTAAAGGGTGAAATAAAAGAGATGAAGAGCTATGTAGAGCAAAAATACGATGAACTGAAAAAATATGAAGAAGAAAAGATAGAGGAAGAAGAAAAGATGAAGAAAATGAGGAGGAAGGATGTCGACATGATCTATACACCGAAGAGTGTTATAGATGCAGTTTTGGATTCGGAATATCCTGCACCCCAGAAGAAGAAGCAAAAGGTAAATTGAATAAAAGAAAACTTAATTTGATCTTTATCATGTTGTTGTGACAAAAAATTGTATGCAAAATTGTAGGTTGAAAAAGTGGATATTTCAAGCGGCGGAATTGATGACCTCGAAGCTGCAATTTATGATTATTTATGGAATAGTGGGTTAGAATCGGGGTAAGTGAAATATATTATTTTGTGAGTGATATTTAAATATTTCATGAAAAAGATATTAATGCTAATGTTTCATACAGATATTATGTAATCTCAATGGGAAATCAATTCGCTAGTGTATCCGACGTTGCAACGTTGAAGCCTACGGAATGGGTTGGCGGTGTGGTAAGTAGAAAGTACAAAATGTTAAAACCTATTGAATATGTTCTGATTGTGTAATTAATTTTGTTAGGTTATTGATTTGCTCGCATGGACAGTATGTTACGATTCGAAAAAGTCACTCCGGAGGATTGACTACCTTCCATACCACTTAGCGATGAGTTAAATTAATAAATGTTGAAAAGTAGTGTTATAGACGGTAAATTAATAATGAATGTCGCGTAATTGCAGCAACAGACATTGGATTCCAACAACAAAGTAAGGGTTGAGGATATTGCTAGCTTTTGGGGTCCCATATTGTGTAACTATGTGAAATTCACCGACCGTGAGAAGGTAAGACACCATACGAATTGCAATGATGTTTTCGGATATAAAATGTTGAATTTTGTCAAATTGGGTGTGAAATTTGTTGCAGATCATGATCACAATAAACTAACATAATTCATATTGGTATCCATTGGTGTTGGATATGGTAGATCGTGTTGCAACATTATATGATAGTTTGTTTACATCTGAAGTAACTAAACAGAGAGTGAATGATGCTAAGAGATTGATATGTATGAAAG